CCCTAGACAGAGTACCAACAGAAGAAAATGAGCCCTTGCCCCAAGGAGTTTCCAGTCTAACACAGCAGGATGTAGCAAAAGCCTCCTTTCCAATCTTAGGACTTCTTTCCCTCCCTTCTGTCCGTCATTGCTGGTCCCGACTCATTCATGGCTAAGCTAAGAGAAGTCTGTCATGTAGGCATAGTTTTTGTGAGTTAAAGGGTAAATGACTGGGATCTTAAACTACAAGTGCCTACACGTTTTTTGGTGTTTGTAGGAGAGAGGGAAAGGTTGGTGTGTTTTTGCATTCCCTTTACACGTGGCACACTGTGGGTATTTTATTCACCAGGTGCTTCTAGCTGTGCTGTGCAGCTAGGGTTAGAAGTGGGCCATCTTGTGGGCACTTTTGGACAATTGTGAATGCAGGAGCCTTGACTCTGGCGTGGGAAGCTTTTCAGTCCTATAGCCCTATGTGGGTCTGTGAAGTGCCGTGCACCCTTATTTTCCATAGAAACAAAGAACAGATAATACACAGCATCATTCCTCGAAGCTAAAATGCATAGACAGAATTTGTGCTGCATCTGAAACTTGTTCTGACTGTCCAAGAATGGGTACTTTTTACTGGAGTAGTTTAAATTAGGGAGGGTTAATAGACAAAGGTAGGGGAGTTAACCTGCTAGGACTTTCTTTGCTTCAAAGATCTGTTTGAGCTGGTGGTCATGGTACCACTGAGGGGATAGCCTGGTTCTGCTTTTTACATGCAAATATAGAAGAGGAGGAAACATTTTTGTGCAGGAGTTAAACTGAAGGAGGAAAAAATGGTTCTCTTCCAAGCTGCACCCACAATGAGCCCTGCCTACATGAGTCACCAGAACGATGGTAGTTTGTGGGGATGCTCAAAATATGCTTCAGCAATTTACTGAGGTTGCTCTTTAAAGGGGCTTAAAAGGACCGTGGGCTGTTTGGGCCCATCATCTTTTTAACTAGGTGAGGGTTGGTGGGAAATGAGCACTGGTGTCTCCCAAATGTTCTCCACGGAGGCCGTGTCTACACTGATAGGGCAAGTGTCAAGGACAATCTCAAGTCCATGCTCACTGACTTCCATGCTGCAGCCGCCCTAGGTTCCTCCTGTGGCAGCAGTCCAGCCTGACCTTGTAGCTCTGCTAAACTTCTGGCATGAAGTTGGTCCCACCACTGTTCACCTCTACGCCTGTCCCTGACTGCAGTGTGCGCAGCACTCTCCTGGGCCTACGGTGCTCAAGCACAGCAAGACCACAAGCAGCAGTCCCCCAACTTCCAGTTCCCGTTTAATGCCCTTCTGCACCCCCATTCCTCTCTCCACAATCCTTAAGGAGAGACACTTACACCAGTGTAGACGCATGCTAAGTGGCACCCAAATGAGGAGCAACTTGCAGCGTATCTTACTCTTCTGGGCTGCACTCTCCTTCCTAACACAAAAAAGGAACTGTTAACAGTGTTGACGTGCAAAGGCTCATTGCCTGGCATCTGAGCTCACACCTGGCTTGGATGGATAAGGCGGTTCATACCTTTGACCCTCTGCAGGCTCGGACAGCTCTGCAATGATTACACCAGTCACAGTCATAACAGCTTTTCTTCTTTTACCATATTTACCTAAATCCAAGAAGACTTTAAATTTAAGGTGACCCTCCCCATAATTATATTCTATACATTTGTTATAATTGTCCGTGTATAGAATCTAATTAGCAGAAGGCCATCTTAAGTTTGTCCCTCCCCTAACTGCTGCGGTGGGGAAAGCAGGTGGGTGGAGAGGGGCCAGTCCCCTGCTCCTTGCCCCTGTTCCTGTGTGCCGGCCCCCGCTCCGCTTTCCCACCAGGCTCCAGATTTCCCCCTCCTGCACGCTCTGCCCCCCGCCCTGCCCCTCATGCCCCCTCCCCTGCCAGATGAGCTATTGCAATCTGGAGCAGGCAGTGGCTCAGCTCCAACTTCAGCCCCAAGACAAAAGCTGAAGCTCAGCACTGAGCCATTGCCTGTCCTGTCAAACCTGCTCCCCCCTCCCCCCACCCCTTGCTGATGGGGGAAGAAAATCTCATCTTGGATTACAGTAAATATGGGAATTTAAGATGAGATACTTGGAAGCTGTGGGCAATTTGAGAGGGATGCGAACATGCACTATGGATCCTATAAGCTGGCTGCTATCTCATCCTTTCAAGAGGGGATGCAAGCGATGTCCATGACTCCTTTATAGACCCTGGTGTTGGGACACAGTGTCTTGTTGAAACACAAGAGACATAAATGACACACAACGGAGTAACCTGGGTCACAGATGCTAATTACAGTCTCCAGAGTTTTCCTTCTTTTAGCCATCCGAAGGAAGAGAAGGTGTACTGTTCTCCTCTGCCCCACAGCCTGGCTTCCTTCTCATTTCCTTGCCCTCCTAGCCCTGTGATAGGTTCAGGCTGGCGCTCCATCCTTTCTGAACTCCATACCAGCCTAACCCAAGTTTTAAGATTTATCAACACAACTCTTGAAAAGTCCAATCAAGTAAAAAAACATGGTCGAAATATTGCTTGTAAATGTTCTTAGACTAGGAATGTAAGACTGGCTCTGCTGGGTCAAACCAGTGGTTCATCTAGCCCAGTAGATGCTTTAGACAGAGAGTATGTGAGTGGGCTGTGTTTACTGTGATCCAACCCCGTCATACCTTCCCTTGCATCAGCAATCCTATGACCCTATGGTTGATGGTTTTAGAAATGTCACAGGACACGTTTTTGACTGTTCTGTTTAATAGCCCCCGTTGAATCTGTCCTCCCTGAACTTGTGTAATCTCTGGTTATACTATCTGCGAACCTGAATTTGGGGCTGTTCTGATCTGGAGCGTTTCATGTATGCCATTCTGAATGATTGGCTTTTGCTAAGGCTAGAAGGCTTCTCCGGAGTGCTTGAATGTGCGTTCACCCGGCAATGCAAAACTGTTGTATCCCCAAGCATAAATGGTCACGTGACAGCCACATCAGATTGATTTCTAACACTAATCCTGTAATTCAGTACTCTGGGCACATTGTACTGCTGTTCTTGGGCTGGGTGCTAACATAGGTCTGTCTGCCAGTGTTGACTGGCAGTGTAAGTGGACGTTGAGGCTCCCATGGCACTCCGGGAGAGCAGGAGATGGCCAGCTCACATGAGCGAGTTGTTTCCAAGGCTCGGTGTGAATTATCGCTTAGTGGATAATGGCTCTGCGTGCCCAACCCTCTCTGCATCTTGCATTAGAAAGCAGCTTGAGGTACAGTAAATATACAAGGTAAAACATCAGATTCTAGACTTCTCTTTCTTAACCCTCTCTTAGTGTCTTAGTTGGAGATGCACCGGTTAACTCCTGGGGCACCATTTAGGATGCCTGCTCCTTTTCTTCCCCTAGTCACTCATCTGCTTCTGCGCCTGATATAAGGTAGGAATGTAGCAGAGAGGCTGGGGGCACAAACAGAGCAGAGCATCTAAGTGCAACGGGGCTCAAAAGAGCAGAGTGACAGGTGGCATTTGCTGTTTGATGCAAGGGGATTTGCCATATGACCTATTCCGAATCTGTCACATGGCAAATTGATAAGACTTGGCATCCAATGTAAGAATAAATCTAGATTATCACCGGGGCTGTTGCAGGGGAGCTCACCTGCTGAGCAGTGCACACGGACTGAGCTTTTCCACGAGGACGTGATGAGCCTCAGGAGGGTTTAATCATAAGTGCTTGCCTTTGCGCAATCCAGCCTTCTATCCCTATTGGAGAGAATCAGCTTTGCTTTTTCCTTGCACTCCTGGGTGAGTGGGTAGTTCACAAAGCAGAAACTGTTGGGTTGAGAAGCCAGCTGGAGGGAGGTGGGGTACAGACAAACGAACCAATTACAGCAAGTTAGCAGGGGGCAGGGGCTTACTGTGCATCGTTCCTTGGTAATTCTCCAAGTGCCTGCTCCTACCTCCCACAGGAAGTGGGAGCTAACCTGGAGCAGCTTAACCCATGATGAAACAAGATGCAAAGAATTACCTTGGAGAAGCTGATGCACAGTAAATCCCCACCCCCTGGTCGCATGCTGCAATTTGTTCATTTGCCTGTACCCTTGGTTGGTGATGCAGCTAAATATCACTGTACATGTCATTGTCACTCCTGCTTTATCTGGGGCTGTCTGTGCACCTGCAGTTGTCTGTGAGCCTGGCAAGTCATGCAGCTCTCTGAGCTCTCCAGGCAGTCAAGCGTATGTCAGTTAATACCCTACCTATTTGCCGATCAAGTTACTAATCACAGAAATGCCAAAAACACAGGGTGGACTGTGGCTTTTTACGCAGCAGTGTAAACCGTTTAGGCCAAGCTGTGGAGAAGAACTGTGCATAGAACTAAACCTGTAGGAGCAATTTTAGGCAGACAGAACTGCTTAGTTTAAAATCATAGAAATCATAGAAATTAAGGGCTAGAAGGGACCTCAAAAGATCGAGTCCAGTCCCCCTCCTCTGGGCAGGAATACTGCTGAGATCAAATGAGCCCAGCAAGGTGTCTGTCCAGTCTCTTCTTGAAGACTTCCAAGGCTGGGGACTGCACCTCCTCCTTGGGAAGTCTATTGCAGATTCTGGTCGCCCTTACCGTAAAGAGGTTCTTCCTTGCATCCAACCTGAAACCATCCTCTAACAGTTTATGGCTACTGCTGTGTCCTTCCTGGGTTGCCCCAGTGAACAGTTTTTCTCCCAGCTCCTGATCTTCACCCATTATGTACTTACAGACGGCCACCAGGTCCTCCCTCAGTCTTCTCTTCCCCAGGCTGAACAGTCCCAGATCCCTTAGTCTTTCCTCATAAGGTTTGTCCTCCAGGAGTTAATCCTCCGCTCTCCCCAGCTCTTCTAGGAGGCGATACAGATTGCTCAGAGTTGATCAGAATTTGTTGAAGACATGGCCTGTCTTTTAAGACGCTCTGTGCTTAGCTTATGAGATAAGGCATCAACACAGCCTGAGAGTAGTCCTCAGTAGCATGGTTAGCTAAACACTCTCACTTTTTCTTTAGTCCCCCAGGTCCTCAAAAGCTGTACTGAATTCATTGAGAAACATGGCATTGTGGATGGAATTTATCGTCTCTCTGGGATTGCATCCAACATCCAGAAACTACGGTAAGGCCATATTGATTGGTATTAGATTAAGTTAATGAATAAAGCACATGCTAATTTAAAATGTTTTGGATTCAGAACCTCAAGCGTTCAGTGATTACAAGTTCTGGGTGTCTTGGGGAACTGACAGGTCCAGCAGCCTCACGGCAATTGTGGGCGATGGTGGTTGCTGTTCTGGAGTCTTTAATATCCCAGCTGTCTTAAAGGAGAGAAGTGAAGTTTTATTTTATAGGAACTCAATGTTGGTCACTGGAACAAGCAAAGTCCCCTGGGACTGGGGAAATGGAGGTTTCCAGGATAGATTGCAATCTCATTCTCTTTGGTTTGTAGCCTAGGGGCGCTACGTTGTAAATCTCAAATGGAGGAGAGTGAATGTTGCTCTTGGCTTTTTGGGCATTAATTCACAGCCGGGCACGTTGCAGGGCTGATCAGGGAAGTCCAGTTCTGCACCATCCCAACCTGTTTTGTTCTTCTCTAAAATTTTCCCATGGTGTTTTCCAAAGCAATGTTTTTACCTTAATGTTTTCATTAGACAACTCCCCAAACAGCCCACAGGGATCACCTTGCTTATTTACAGAAATACTCAACTGTCGAGTTTTCTGAGATGGCAGGAAGAAGAGAAGGATGAGTAGGATACAATGTGAAGACTGTTCTGATCTTTCATACTAGTCACTGTCAGTGTGCTCAAATATTTGATTAGTACAGGACACGCTGCTGTGACTCCAGCTTGGAAGCAGCGTATTGGTCTGTTTGTAAAGTCAGATCTGATATTTCTTGATTAACGAGATTCATGTTTTTAATAATCAAGTACATGAACTCGTGAAAGTGTAGGCTTTGGTAACTCAAGACATTAGAGCATTTCTTTCACCGAGGAGCTTTTCTTAGCGCTTCTTAGAGCAGTTCTGTCTCAGTGGCAGTGCAGCAGGACCTTTTATGTGGTTGATGGGCAAAATCAAACCATTGCCACAAGCCGGTATGCTCAATTCCAGCATCCTAGGCCTGGCCTTGCTTTTGAGCTACCATCAAGGAGATTTTATTTGTGAGTAACATTCTTCCTAGCATCTAGAAGAAATATCAGAGAGCTATTAACATTCAGTGCAGAGAAATGTAACTTTTACAGGAATTTAAATGGATCACAGAACTATAGCAGAGTCAGGTGGCAGGGCCCTCAGGTCACATCTAAATCAATCCCTTGCTCAACCTAGAGCCACCCCTGACAAAGATCAAGGAAATCAAAGAGATCAAACACTTTTTCTGGCGTCTCTTTCAGGGGAGGAGGAAGTCCTCATACAGATATTAGGCTGAGTCCTCCACCCAGCATATCCACAGAAAATGAGGGTTGGAAGGCACCTCAGGAGGTCACATCTAGTGCAACCCCCTGCTCAAAGCAGAACCAGCCCCAACTAGATCACCCCAGCCAAAGCTTTGTCTAGCCGTGTCTTAAAAACCTCCAAGGATGGAGATTGCCCAACCTCTCTGGGTAACCTGTTCCAGTGTTTTACTACCCTCCTAGTGAGAAAATTCTTCCTAATACCTAACCTAAGATATTATCATCTCAGTGGCTTGGTTATACATAGAGCTTCTCCATAGTTAGGGGCTAAAGAACCACCCCTCCTATCCTGTTGCAGCAGAGCTTCCCTCTTTCTGCTACCACTCCTGCACATCCCCTTGGAAAAGAAAAAGCCAGCAGATCCAGTCTGCTTGGGTGCAGTGATCCCATGAAGAATACCCCACATCCTCCCCCGCGTATTGCTTCTGCTTAGTTGATGTTGGGATTAGGGCTCAGGATTTGGCTATCAGGGAGCATAGTGCATTACCAGGAGCAGAGTGAGCTTTGTCCCACGGACCATTTAACTGCCCATGAAGGCTCTTGCTCAAAGTTTTCTCTCTCCCGAGCTTGCAGGAACAACACGCTCCTTTGTGAGCTCCCTCTTACTCCTGTGCATCCAGGAGCAGGGAAGAAGTTTCTGTACTAAATATAAGTAAGTGATGAGTCAAAGATGCTTGTGGGAGCCAGATAAAACGAACACTAAAGATTGTGGCTGCAGTGAATCAGTCAGGCAGCGGGGAGTGAAACCCTTCATTTCCATGTCCCGCTTTGCCTTCAGGGTGAAGAGCTGGGGTGGGCTGCATTTCAGCTGCTCATTATCAGATGCTTACCTCTGGACATTAATCCTGAAAAGTCCCCTTCTGCCTCCTCCTGATGTAGAAACAACTTTCCTAAAACAACCCAAGCAGCTGGGGCATGGGAGGGTAGTGCACCTTTTGGATACCACTCAAATTGTCTACAAATACATTTGTGTCTAAGCCTGTACCTGAATGTCCCTGCTTTTCCCAGGAAAGCTTTTCCACGGGGCATAGGCCTGATGTTACAGTCAGGGCTGACTGGTTCAGGGACCACATAATGCAGTCCGCATTAACCAGAAAAGCCACAACAATACACACACACCTCTCTGGCTGGGTTGTGGTAAACACTGCAACTCATAGCAAGACATCACGTGCAGTATGGAGCTACACGGGGTGCCTTAGTGCTGGCACTTGGGTTGCTTTATCCATGACTGCAGGAGACAGACCCAGTGCGCACAGCAAGGAAACAATAAACTTTGATAATGTTTTCTGCAGCTGGTAAGTGGAAGAGCCACGTGCGGCTCCGGAGCCGAGTCTGAGGACATGGGTACAAGATGGTTCCACTGCGCAGCACAGTGAGGACCTGAAGTTTCAGGCAGGCCCTAGAAATGTGCTGTAGCACTGAGCATGCATTGCCATCCACTTCTACAAAGCAGAAGGGTGATGTAGCTGGGTAAGAGACCAACCAGGGTTGTGGCGTGGGTAGGACTATCCGTTGAGCATGGGAGCAGCCTGGATTCACAGCTTGAAGAGTCTTGTGAGGAGACAAGGCTTCGGATGCAGCAGTCATGTTCTCACTGCTCCCAGTGGCCGGACTTGCCACGCTAGTCCCAGCAAATCTGTCCTGGCTAATTTGAAACATCAATTTCCATGCACATATTCCAGTGGGGAGCAAGCCTTGCCAGCCCTGGCCCTCACAGCGCGGTTTTTGTTTCATAAACGTTTGTGCTTTGGGTTTCTCCCTCTCCCTCCCTATGTGAAAACCAAGAGAATATGCAGGGATTTTCTTCATGTGGTTCCTGGCTCCTTTCCCTCCTGCCGGCAGAGGCTTGCCGGGCTCTCGAGCTTGCATCCAAGGAATTTCTGCACACAGTAGTTTTGATGTACAGCAGCTGCTGATGGGTCTGGTGTCCAACATTGCTTCTAATTTTGATTTCCAGGTTTTCAAAATTTAAGGGGGATTGAGCTTTCATTTTGGCCCCTGGGGAATTTCACCCAGGCGGTTCCCAGTCAGAATCGTCAGCGCTTCCCATGTAAGCGATCTGCATTAGAATTGAGAATGTACCCTTAAGACTCTTAGTGAAGGGTGTCTGCACTGTTACCAGAAAACTGATTTCTGGGCTAGCCAGACAGCTGTAAAACCAACTGAAAATGCCTCAGAAGACAGCGTCTCATTTCGGAAAAATGTGAGCTTGCAGCAGCATAAACGTGACTCTTGTGGCTTTGGCTCTTGCTCATTTATTTTTTCCTGTAAACCATGTCCTCACCGTCCTCCGACTGTAATTTGTTTTGGGCTTCTTTGCTCCCTTCTATCCCCCTGCACCCATCTCCTTTTTTTGTCTCCAGCCACGAGTTTGACTCTGAGCAGATCCCCGACTTGACTAAAGATATTTACATCCAAGATATCCATTGCGTGGGCTCCCTCTGTAAGCTCTACTTCCGGGAGCTCCCGAATCCCCTGCTCACGTATCAGCTCTATGAGAAGTTCTCAGTAAGTATAAGCACGCATGGTTCATTTTCCAGCCAACTCGCCTGTTCCCAGTGCTGTTCCCAGGCACTGCAGTGTCCACACACAATGCTCCAGTTTTGCATCCGCCTTGACCGTTTCTTTCCCAGCATCTAAATATCTCTGTGCCAGTGTATAAACACTAGATGAACAGTACTAACTCGCTCCAGGGAGGCCCTGCATCTAGGACATTTAAGGGCTATAATGATGGCTAGCACCACCAGGCTAGCAGCAGAAGAAGTCTTTCTGTGCCATCAGAGCAGAACTTGCAGGTCCCTGGACCAGCTACACTGTAGCTCTGTCATAACAGTGGTTGTGCTTAAGTCTGTCTCTGAGGTACAGGGATACCAGAGTGCTGGGCCCTGCCTAGCAGCTTAGGTAGGAAATCCCTTAAATAGTACAACCCTGTGCACTGTCCACGTTTGTCAAAATCTTACTGATTTATTACATTGTTTTAGGATGCTGTTTCTGCTGCTACAGATGAAGAACGATTGGTTAAAATTCACGATGTCATCCAGCAACTGCCTCCACCTCACTACAGGTTAGTGTGCGTGGTTGCACCATGCTTTCGGTCCTCAACCTGTCTACAACAGAGGGGTCACCGGCCTGTGCTGACGTGACAGCACATTATGCTAGATGTCAGGACTGAAGTAGCTGAGTTTGAGGAGCGTACACCTGTTGCTGAAAGGGACACCTGGCATTTTTGTGTGCTTTCCAACTCCCCTTTCCCCCCTCTCTCCACACAGAAAGCTGGTTCCTGAGACAGCATTCTTCCTGCATGCATCAAATTATATGGTTGAGCACACTTGGAAGGATTTAAAGCTGTAAAGCGGACTTCTATTTTAATTAGAGCAGTAATAAGACACGCATTCCATACATAAAGCATCTCTGATGTTTCCTACAAAACATGCCATAAGGGGCTACACCAGTGTCTGATTTAATTAAGGTGGCTGGCAGGACTTTGCACAGGGTATTTCTAATGAGGAGGTAATAAATTAACTATCTTGAAAAAACTTCAGAGTGAGTGTAGTGGAGCAAGCAGCAGGTTCAGACCTTCAGCATGCCTTACTGGGCAGAGTCTGGGATCCAGGGTTAAGCTGGGCCGGTGAAGTTATGGAACAGAACAAGCAGCGTGGTACTGCCGGTGTGAAATGCCCTCTGTGCAGCTGATGTTTCTAACTAGCACTGTTGGCAGAACACCCTGTTTGTCAGGGCCATGAGCCATTTGCCTCAGAGCCAATTACAGGTGCATGCATTGCCTTTGGCTGTGCCTTTGCTTCCAGTGTCCACTGTAGCCTGTTTGTGACATCTGACTAGTGGTTTTTATCCTGGGCTGGTGGAGAGTTGACCACCCACCTTCTGGCCATATCGTCACAAGGACCAGGTCTCTCCTATCCCCTGCGGTTGGCATAACTGAGCTGTCCCTCTGCGTGGCTTCAGATGCCCTTGATCGACCAATAAATCCAGCTCGGCATTTGCATGGTCCAAGTGTGCAGTAAGCGACTGTGCTGTGCCGTTTGCACCATCTCATTGGCCAAGTGGGCCTCTCGGCCTTTCTGATAGTTCTGCAGTCCTGCAATGAGTCCTTATCAAGCCAAGGGCATGTTGGCTTTCCCAGCCCACCCAGGCTTGTTCAAGCGGTCGTAGCAGATGCTTCTGAAATCACTCTTTGTCTTCATCTGTCTTGCTATCAAAGCAGAGTGCTTGACAAGGGACACAAACTTGGTTGGAAAATGGCTGAGAGCCTGACTTTCCCATCCATGTGGAATAACTGTGCAGCCAGTGCTCCCTCTAGCGGGGATTGGGCAGAGCTGATGATTCACTCCAGGTTTCCTCGAAGCATTCCTGAGGCTTGGCACTGCTGCAGTCAGACTTTTTGGAAGGAGGAAAGTGCCTTTTTATTCTAATAATCTTTGGCCATGAGAGAGATCTTGTGCTGTAATCATGGTGCTTGGCAGCCTGGGCTGGAGAGGGGCTTTTGCAAACCGTGGAGGATTTTGTCCCCTTTCATTTCCAGTAGATGTGGACTTCGTAGCCTAATGCCTTGTTCTTTGCACATGAGAACAGAAATCAGGCCTGGGGGGTTAGAAAGCTCCAGTGCTGGGCAGAGACTGCTTGGGTGTAGCAGCTCAAAAGGCTTTGACCTGCCCACTGCCTTGCTGATAAGGGCACAGGGTAAGAAAGTGAGACCTGGAGTGCTTCTTAGGGAGACATGAGATCATCTCCTGATTCATGCCATGCTCCTCTAGTGTTTCTGCTGTTGCTCGTGGAGCAGGGGACAGCTCATCAATATTCTCATTAATGCAAGAACAGCTTTTCCTGCACCGTTGATTTTCTTTACCTTGCACTTACACACGCAACCCTCCCCACTAGCACCAAGCAGGACTGAACCCACTGCTGATTGTGAGAAATTTATCTGACTCTTGATCATGCCTGTCGGTGCTTGTCACTGAACGGGGAAGCTTGACCTTGTATCATCAGATATGTGTATACCTAACTGTAGGCACCCATCCTGTACACAACAGCACACAATCCTACCGTGGTACTTTAAAGGCAGGACTTTCAAAGGAGCTCCGACATATCTTCTACCTTACAAAAGGATAATGCGCTAAGCCCTTTCCATGAGTGTCACAACACAGCCGGAAACTTGCCAGACCCCGGTTCTGCCAGGTCAAATAGAGTGGAAGTGAGTTACTGCTGTTGCACAACCTCATAGTTACGTGGCCAAGTGATAAATGTGCAGAATGAGGGGCAGTTTCCTGCAGCGTGCTGTGATAGTGGACTCATGGGGGACTCCTCAAATGGAGGAACAGTCTGCTACAAGTGCTTTGAAACCTTACAATGACAACAGGAGATGGAAAAGCAGGAACAGTAGAAACAGCGTGTCGCAGACCAGGAATCCAGAGCTAACCACCCCTCACAGAAACACGTGCCTGAGTTACAAGAGTCTGTCAACCCTGGAACAGCCTCATCAGCCATCTTTGGAGTCACAGATAAAGTAATCATGGAAGACAATCGTCCTTGACTTCAAGGGACTGCATCTGCTGCTGATGTTTTGGCCCCTGTCAAGTTCTGTTTAACTGCCCGCTATGTTCTGCAATGCTCACATATGCCTCTGTTTGCCCTTTCTCTGCCTTCAGTTGGGCAATCAGGAAACCCAGACACAAATATTTGCCCAAGGCAATTTTTTTTGCCTTGCTTGGTGCACATCATTCCTGACGCCTTGATTTTTTTTTTTGCTACCGCACAAATGCATATTAACTGTGTGTTTTCTGTTCTTGAAATTGCAGCATGGCATGCTAATTGGTATTGAGCGATTGCCTATCTGTTAACAGATTTTTGCATATCTCTCATTTTCCAGGACACTGGAGTTCCTAATGAGGCACTTGGCTCGTCTAGCTGATTATTGTTCCATCACAAATATGCACACCAAGAACTTAGCAATTGTCTGGGCACCAAACCTCCTAAGGTAGTAACTCTTCCCTCCCCCTGTCCCCTGTCATTTTTACATTCAACCCTACTTTGCACCAACTTCTTGAAATTAAACACTGTCAACCAGCTAAACAAACATAATGATGTGTTCTCTAGTCGGGCAACTGCAAGCACCCAAAACACTGGTGACGTCTAAGGGGTGCATACGGGTGCATGTGCACCCTCTGAGCATGGTGGGGCACCCCCTGCGAAAAGGCGCTGCTGACACTGCTGGCGGCACCTGCGGGAGGGCGGCGCTCACAACTCCCCCCATCACTGCTGACCGCCAGTGGTGTTGGCGGGCGGTCCACTGTCGGCGGTGTCTGCGGGTGGTCGCTGACCACCAGTCGATGCTCACCACACACGCCCCCTGCCACCACTGCTGACAGCACTGCCACCGCCTGGGGGTGCACACGGCATTCATGACCCAAAAAGCACTGAACTCCATCCTCCAAAGGCTTCCATTATACTATGCTTACTTGGGCAAAGGTCCTTTTGCTTTTTGAGGGGAGAAAGGGAGCAGGGGTTCCTGAATAAGGGCTTCAGAATAGGGCAGGATTGGACCCAATTGGTCAGATCCTCAACTGGGTTAAATAGCATAATTGTCATTGACTCCTGGAGAGCTGCACTGATAGGTAGTGATAGGGGAGAGTTTGAAGTGATTTTGGAGATTCGTTTGGTTAACGATTCCCTGTGAATGCAAAGGACCAGACTTAGTGACCGACAAGTCTCCTTCCAGTCCCGTGTTCCTGTGATGACATGATCTGGCCCTTTGGACCTGCTTGTTCTTTTGCATCAGTTGAACTCCACTGGCTTCAAAAGAATGACTCATTTATATAGAACTGGCCTTAGAAAAATGGCGTCCTTGTAGTTTGGCACCCTGCCCTGCGGCACCTCAACTCAGCTGCACTGCTACAGGCAGAGGCAGGTGGGGAGGGGAGCACAGCTACCTGGGCAGGTGGTCCAATCTCCAGCTCATCTCTGTCCCTGGCCACTGTTGTAGCCACCCAGGTGCCCGAGCGCCCATGTGGAGCCACCACAAAGGCTGGGAGTGATCGTGACACCTCCAGTGCAGCTGCGTGGTCAGCCCTGGCCAGGTTGGGGGGAGAGGAGAAGGGAGCACAGCTGTCTGGTGAGATGGCCATGTCCCCAGCTTCATCTGCAGCACTGTGGGCATCTCCCCGGCTGCATGATGGGGGCCAAGGAATGTGCTTCCACAGCCATCCGTACTGCCCGGCTCAGCTCGTCCTGAGCAGCTTCTAGAGACTTTTCCCTGAGACATCTTTCCCCCTCCTTTGGCAAGATGTGAATAATGTGTCCTTGGGTCATCCAGGAAAACTTGTTGTATTCTATGACCCAACCAGCTTTCCATTGCATCAATCTCTATAGTCTGACTTAAATGCTTTTGGCTAGTGGGTATCAGCGGTGTGGAAATAGTCTTGGATAAATACTGTCCTCTAGAATTGGCTGTGACTCACATTACAGTTCTAACTTTCATCATTTGAAAGCAAATCGCTGCACTCTCATTTTGTGGTATTAGTTTCTAGCCTGTTTTGTTACCAGAGTGAGAAATGAGTCATTGATTTCCTCGTGTGCAGTTAACGAGTGTAAGCAGGCTTCTTTTTTCTGGTAATTTTGTCTTCCCACAAGTGATGAGAAAAAAAAAAAGTTCTCTTGCTTGTGTGGCCTCTTGAACTGCAGTGCAGGGTAGGGGGGGACTGGAGGGGGACTTGCTGAGCAGTACTAGTTGAAGAAGTTTCCAGCTCATTAAAAAGGCCACAGTGAACTTTTAATGAAGCTGCATTTTAAAATGAATGCATCTGCTCCCTCGAATGGAAGGAAGGAGACTGATCATGCTTACACACTGCCATCGTCTCGTGCAGCCTTAGTGCTCTCTTCAGTCTCTGTAGCTGCAACAGGTGCTCCCCTCTTGCCATCCCCAACCCCAGTTCAGGCTCGTGTCTTGTTCTCACTAACTTAGTAGGAGTCTTCACAACCACAAACTCAGCCTGCTTATTTGTACAGCACTGTGAAGGGCTCATTTCTCTGATATAACTAATTTAAAATGCTGGATGGGCCCAATGCGTAGCCTAGCCTATAAGTGTAGCTAAAGTCTTAACTGCCCAAGCCACTGTGTGCTGTAGCCCAACAGCAGCTGAGATGACTTATGTGCCCTCTGCATTGCTAATAATATGTTCACCTTGTCTTCCTTTCCAAGGTCAAAGCAGATCGAGTCTGCCTGTTTCAGTGGAACAGCTGCCTTCATGGAGGTGCGAATCCAGTCGGTGGTTGTGGAGTTCATCCTGAATCACGTAGATGTCCTCTTCAGTTCCAAACTCAGCTCAGTCATACGAGATGGGGCAGGTGCGTGCCTTCCTCCGTGGTTTCCACTCGACACCAATTAATGGCAGAGTTCAAGTGAAAACTCTTCCCTCTCCAGGAGCAAAGGAAATTTGGAATTGTTTTATACAGTGAAAGCGCAGACCCAAGTTTTCAGACTCGATTGCCTTGAGTTGGTCATTATAGCTTGATTTGAGGGATGCCTGGGCACCTTCTTCTAGTGACCATTAGGTAGTTGAGGGAACTCCACACAACTGTAGGGCTGGACCTCTTGACTTGGTCAGAGCAACTGCTTCTATCTCTCTTCCTGTGATTCACAATTGTTTCTCGATCCTGACCGTTAGAACTCTTTGCTTATGAAAGGGATGTGTTCGGGTCTGAGGATAGTTTTAATGAAGCACTTTCTCCTAGATGCTCATCTACTCAAGGTACTTTTGCAGTACAGGCTGGTACACTGGGATGCATACACCTGCTATTACAGCCAGCATTTTCTAAGTGCTGAAAACATGGCAGATGAAAAAAAGTGGACTGACCTAGAGAGGATCCACAACTCCCACTGACTTTAGCAGCCGGTGTCAGTGCTCAACGCTTCTAATAATTTCTTAGGTGCCTAACTTCAGACACCAAAACACTGAAGTTTTTGGCCCTGCGTCATAGGAACCATTTTAGTTTTTTAACTACCAGACTAGTTGATGTGTACATTTTCCACATGCCTTTCAGGAATTCATTAGTATGGCTCTCAGTTGTAAGCTTCACAGCCGTTTCCTTGTTTGTCACGTAGCTAGCGCCAATTCTGGTGTACAAGCGGTGTCTGCATCTGTAGGATGAGGCTGTGAAGCATCCACTGGTGGGGAGGGATTAGCAATGAACTGCAGCATATTGCACAAGGCATTGGGATAATTGAAGCATTACCTATTTGTTTGGCCATGGTTTGTTATACAGGTTAATCTCACTCCTCCCACAGCTCTACCATGTTATACCAAGGATGAATTTTACTCCATATGTTAGATCACTGTGAACAACGCACAGATTGTTTTTAAGAGGCATTAAATATCAACTAGCTGGTTTAATATATCTCACCCTTAGTATAAAAGGGTGCATGGTGAGCAGTTAGTGCTTGGTGAGCAGTTGCAAGCATGAGTAGCCAGCTTATTCCCCAGTATATTTCTCTGCCTTGGCTTCCTTTACTTCAGGTTAGCAAATCTACTATCAGTCCAGCTTTGCTAGGTTGGTTCTCTTCTAAAACAATAGAAGCGAGTGCTTTGCTCAGCTGTACTAAGAGCCCTGCTTGAGCAATACATGCATGTTTCCAACCTGAGACTGGCTCATCTTTCCATATTCATTGCACTCACTCTAGGGAGTTTTCTGCCGGGGGGAAGATAATTAGTTGGCCCGAGTTCTTAGCCTGTTCCTGAGTTCAGAATGGAGTGTGTTAATGCAGGCGGTTGTTTAATTTGTTGGTCATTCTCAGGGAGTGCCTCAATGCTGAGCGGCGGGTCGGGGCTTGTTGCAGGGTATCAGCAGCGCTCAGGGAAGCACGCAGCATCCTTGCCAGTGCTCCACATGCATCTCTCTGGAGGTGATGGGTGAAGGGTGTGGCGGGTCAGTAGGGGACGCTCCTGTGACCCACCTCACTGCGCCTGACCACCTTCCAGGCTCTGAGTGCCTCCCTGGGGGTGCCTCGCATCCGGCTGACCCCCTTCCTGGAGCACACCCGCTAGCCTGGGGTTCCACTGCCACCACCCAGGGCTGCACTTAATTCTGGCTCTGTGCGCCCTGGGAAACACAGGCCTAGTAGCCCTCGAGGGTACTTGGTTCACTTCAAGAACTTGGGATGCTTCCCTCAGTCAGAAGCATAAGTAGTGAGTGGTCTCCCTTAGTCAGCCAAACCAAGGGGACCCCCAGGCATAATCTAGACCCACTCCCAATAAGTCTCCCACACTAGGAACAAAGGAGAACTTTATTGGTTACAAGGGGTAGGGTTAGAATAGGGTGCAGGGTAGAGCAAGATCAGAAATCCCATAGAGCAAACTCCTGTGGCTGGGTAGCCTTTGATCACACATCTGAGTTACTGCAAGCTATATATCTAGTTAGATCTCAGTTAGCTTACTCACAAGTATCATCCAGAGGCAGGTGGAGATTCCCTCTGGAGGCAGGCGGCAGTTCCTTGATCATGAGTTTTGAGAGAGAGAGCAAGTTTCAGATGGTACAGCTCTTCTCCCTCTCTGAGTCTTCCTCACGGCTGGCGGCCCCTCCTCCTGGGCAGTCCTTAACTTAAATAGCCCTTGTGACCTCATTTACCCAGTCCAGTGGAGGCCAGCACCTGTTGGCTGTCAGCCAACCAATTTGAAATGCATCACTAGTTGCTGGGCAGACTGGCAGTTCCTAGCTCCCCAGGGAGCAAGCCCCTCACCCAGGTATGTGATACCAGTCACGTAGGCAGAGGAAGCAGGTTTCCCCCCATCCCTCAGGAATGTATCCAGCTCAGGTTACTTAAAGAGAGAGGGTAAGGTGTGTATCCTCTGCTGGGCCCATCCTAACCAAATTGTCACAGAGCAGAGTTTTTGGGGAGAAACAGAGGTGGCCTTCTGCCACAAAGGAAAAGGAAATGTATTGGTGCAAGATCTCCATTGGCCTCTGATGTGAGCTCAACCGTGGTTCCCGAACTTGATTTAAACAATTCCAGCTGAGACCATTTCTAACATGGTGTGAGTGGCCACTGAAGATCAGCCTGGGTTGGGACAAGATTTCTGGAATTTGGTACAATCCTTGTACTAGACTGGATGGTTGGCAGCACAGAAAAGCATTTACATTTGACTCAAAGGCCACTGCAGACACGCGCATGTGCACAATTTATCCAGGGTTGTGTTACTGCCGGTACTGATTCCTCTTGCTGAGCAACATCAGTGAAGCTGATGGGGGGCTGTCCTGTTAGCATTTCAGAGTTCAGACTCCAGAGGAGGGGGTGGTTATAACAGCTGTGTGCACAGGTTTAGATACTTAAACTCTGCTCTAAGTTTCATCTGCAGCAGGATTTCCCCATTTTTTTCCAGTTGTAACCTGGTGGACAGAGTCATTAGTGTCCAGGCTGCAGTTATCAGGGGACAGGGATTTACTGCCTCTCTGCTCCTCTTCAGTAACTGTCTCTCTCTCATCCCAGGGTGGCAGGATTCCCAACCCAAAAACATTTTACTGAAAATCTTCAAATTTTTTACAGACAAAAACTTGCTTTACTGATATTTTTTCCACAATGTAAAGGGAGTGCAAAGTACAAAAATACACAAGTTATTTATGTAGGTCATGGGCACAAGAGCACTTCAGTCCCCTCCCCTATGCCCCAGAAGCCAGACACTTAATAAAAATCCCAATATCATTAAATACAGGCCTACTGCTACAGCCAAGAGCCTGATAGCCCTTTCTCATTGCTGCTGCAAAGCTGTTCCCACAGACGCCTGGATGGGGGCGGTGGAACATGCAGGGGATGTGCACACTCCACAAGGTGGGCAAAGGGAAGAGAAGGGACCTTGAGCAAAGGATGGGGATGGGGACGTGCCAAGCCCGACCCTCTACTCGGTAGACCCAAAGCATTGCTGGAAATGCCTGAAGGTCCCAGCGGGCAGCAGTGGTGGGAGCAGGGTTCCCATCCATCAGCAAATTTTACAGACATCTAAATATTTTTATGGATAATCACTTTCAGCCACTTCCTTTTTTCTATGGATGGGTGCCAACCAGGGTGAGAGCAAAACTCAGCCTGCAAGGCTAAGCTGTCCTGGTCTAGCTTCCTAAGGCTGTTTGTGTGCTGGTAACTACCCCAGGTTAAGTAAGAGCCAAAGAGGTCAGTTTAGTCCTGTTTCTTTCAGGGATACACTGCATTCACATATCATGGGGTAATTCTGGGGACACAGACATTTACCCCAGAGCAGCTGAGGGGCAGCAAAAGGCCTGTCCTCTTGTTTAAGGACATATTGGATAATTGCAGGCTTGGAACGACTGAGGGATTTGTGGGGTTCACAACTATTGCAACCCCAAGTTAAGAACTACAGATCTGTAAGGAACAGTGACATAAGAAGTGTTCAGCCTGCTTACAACTTCCAGAAAAAAAGAAGAGGAGAGAAACAGTCAGGCTTCTTCATTTCATCACTACCAACAGGCCTTTTAGTATTGATTAAAGCAGGCAATCATGACAGTAAAATAGAACTGGCTCCTGTTGCAATGCCTAGGTTAGCCATTCCTCATTGCATGTTAGACTAGGAGTGCAGGCCACTATAGCTGGTAGTTACTGAAATGACAAGCATAGGGTTTTGAGCCATCCCATAGGATAATTACAGATAAACCTGTGTTTAGGGTGCAGAGGTGGTTAAATAAAAATATGCAATAGAACAGTTACGTTTAAGCCCTATAGGCTTTTTGTATTGAACCAGATTAGACTTCTGCTTTTATATTATTTAAGGCCAAAGCAATTATTTGTGCCTTTTTATACTCATTCACACGCACCCCTAGAGCACAGCTGGAAGCAGGGTTGGTCTTTTCTTGTTGTCCTTGGGATTACAAGGTCCCAGGAAAATGTGCTACCACCAGTCCCTGGGTCTTGCTTTTCCTCCAGCTGCTCCTCCCTGAACCTCTTCCTTGCCTCTGGTTCCCCTTTGCAGGTCACAGCTCCTTATCGCGGCCCAAATCGCTGCTGGTGTCATCTCCCTCCACCAAGCTGCTCACGCTGGAGGAGGCCCAAGCACGGACACAAGCCCAGATCAACTCCCCTATTGTGGCAGACAGCAAATACATCGAAGTAGGAGAAGGCCCCGCAGCTCTGCAGGGGAAATTCCACACGGTCATAGACTTCCCAGCTGAAAGGTAAAGGCGTTTCCTTTCAGCAGGTTTTCAGTTCACAGTGATTCGACCTTAGAGGGCATTGCTTATACGAACAATGTATACAGGATCATAGCCAAGCTCCCACTCCCACTGGGAATCAGGCTGTTCTGTCCTTGTGAGAATGTAGCAAGACATCCATAGATGTCTGAGGGGTAAATTCAGCTGCAGTAAACTGGCTGTGCAATTTTTTTCCCCCACTCAAGACATAGTTAAATCCATAAAGCCAAGCTCCTTGTATAGTTATGGATATGTGCACACTAAGTCATTTGTGCTTAGGTGCCAACCACAATCCTACCTCTGTAAAGGTCCAAAATGATTAAAACAAAGCCTAGTTCCATAACTTGAAGTGCTCAGACAGACAGTTGCCTGTAGGAGAGGGCCCTTATTCAGGCCCTGTGTATTGCTCTGCTGCAGGCAAGCAGAGAACAAGTCCTTTAGGCAGGAGCTCAGTCAGGTTTAATGAACTCCAGACTGCACCTGTCCAGGCAGGGGCGTGCCAATGCCCTTCACTGCTGAAAGAGGCACATGTCAGATGTGCTAAGCCTCGTTCCAGCACCTGGCTCGGATGGAATTGGGCTTGGCATTTAGGATATAGCAACTGGCAGTGTGCCTTGAATGTAAACCCTTCTTCCCCCCACCCAACCCCTATTCTCTCACTCCAGAAAAAGACCACCCAACAAGATGAAGAAGTCCCCAGTGGGTAGCTGGCGCTCCTTCTTCAACCTGGGCAAATCGTCTTCTGTGTCCAAGCGCAAGCTGCAGCGCAACCCAAGTGAGCCCTCCGAGATGAAAGCCATCGCTCTGGCTGGTGAGACCCTCACGAAAGCCTGACCTGGGCTTGCAGTATGGCTCTATCCCCCTCTAGCGTTTAGTCCAGGGACTGAAGTCCGAGCCTTTCAGCAGTCAGATGTGGGCTCTTCAGCACAGAGTCATGCTTTTAAAGCCAGGGGCTGCAGGTTCAGTCCCCATCCAGGGCTGTTGCGTTACAAAAATAGCAAAACGGCTACACTCTTGTTAACTCACAACACGCAGGGCTGACTGTCAAAGGTTTTTCTACCCAAGAAACTGTACTGGCATTGCTGTTTTACCTGTACCTCATAACTCTGCCCCTATAGAGTTTCACTGTTGAGTTAGGATGCTGTTTGCAGGTTCAGCTTTTACTGGTACACGCTGAAGTGGAAATGGGTATCTTTAGTACACAATGAACGCCCACACAGAGCAGTGCCAGTCAGCGTCTCCCTGTAGACACACCATGCATATTTCTACACACATTACAATCTTAGGAATATTCCTATCTTTTGCAAAAGAACTACATGAGAGAGGTTTGTGAGTATTTCTGTCCAGATTCTCTTAAATTACATCTTAACATATTTCAAAAAAAGACCAACTCAGATTTCCTGGAGATTGAGACGTTGATTTTCTTTTTTTCCTAATATAAAATGAAGTTTGAGACAAGGCACAAAAGTCCCAATATGACCTTGGGCCAATGTCATGACAAGATGGACTCAAAAATACCAAACTTCCCCAAAGCCTTGAGCCTATAGTTAATGCTTATTCAGAGCTCTTAAAATGTATGGCCTGGGATCTTCTCTGCTACAAACCAGTTTTGTGTCAGGCTAGCATCACAGACAAGCCATAACATTCATATAATAACGGCAGAGGCATCCTTTGGATGGAGGGAAGTAAAGGGGGCCCCTCTGAGACTGCTGGAGGAGAGGGGATAGAGGTGAGGATACTCATCTACACCAAAGATCCCCGGAGCTATTAGTTTTTTTTCAGCTAGCAGGGAGCTGTGGCTAGGGTACTCCTCAGCGCATGCCTGCCCTTCTGACAGTTCATATCTCTTGTATCATTTTCTCTGTCTGGGATGTAGATGCTAAAGACTAATCTCAGTAGGTGCTGAGAGCTTATAAAGTTTTCTTGCCCAGTGGCCTGAGGCAGTGGCAGCATGATGCTGGATACCACTTCTCTCTGTGACTGGAGGATGATAGAAAAGCCAAATGTTATTAAGAGCATGGTACTGATGCCATGAGCCCATTTGTGTCCTCGTTCTGGGAGCGCATGGCAGACTGTGAACGACTTCTCAGTCTCGATTTTGGTTCTTCAGGTGGAAGAGGAGATAGCGGAACGCTCCGCTCAGCTAAAAGTGAGGAGTCTCTCACTTCTCTGCATGCTGTTGATGGTAAGATGGAAATACAGTTGTTTTCTGAGGGTGGGGTAATTAAACCAAGGCAGCATGGACACCTGTGTGAGACTGTGAATATTCTTGGTATTTGATAACATAGATGGGAAGTCCTACAAATAAATTCTGCGGCTTCTCCACTACAATTCTTTATAGAGAGCTAGCATTCCCAGGCATCCTATTGCCAAACAGGTTGCCCCCTGTTCTGCTAATTCCTTTCTGATTATATTTCGGCAATTATTAATTATTATTATTTCTCCAATATCCTGTTCCTTTTTTGCACGCATAGTTCTTACTATCAGCAACTTAGCAGTGCAGATGTAGCCAGACATCACTGGTGGATGTTGGCATTGCTTTATAGCGTGAGGGAACCAAGCTTTGGTCATACACTTTGTGAAGGAGCTAGTACAACTGCATAATGAATTAGAACACCTAGCTGACAAGAGATCATGTTAAATCCAGGTTGCTTTCTCCTTGGATTTCAGTACAACACTAAAAGGCATGAGAATAAACCCATTGCAGGCAAACCAAAGCTCAGCAGGTGTAGGTTGGACTGAGTTACTTTTTATAGGCAATTTCAACACATAAGAAAAATGTGGGAAAAGCCTTAGACATGCTGTATGTAAAAAAAAACCCAGTTATTTTAGAGGGTGGAATAGCAAAGGGAGTAAAGCAACTTTATACAATCTAGGGTAAAACTCACTGGATTTCATTTTCAAAATGAGGAAAAAAGCAGTATGTACCATCCAGGATGCATGGACTAACTATCAAACAGACACAAGAAACAACTTCATGTGTTTCTGCTTGTAAGGTCTGCATGTTGCATTCTTTTCTGGCCTTTATAGAGAACAAATTGCATAGGATTAAACTGAGTTTAAAAGAATTACAACATAAGGGTTTCTATAATGCTGCCCGTCACTATCGAGTGAAAGCATTCAGTGAAGGAAAAACAGGGTGACCTCTCCAAATCTCTTCTGGTAGGAAACAAGTGACTAAAAGCAGGGGTCTGGGCAGTGAAATATGTTCACATGCATTAAACGTAAAGCTCAGTGTAACCTTAACTGTTCTCCAAAATTAAGAGCCGTGATGCTTTTTAAGCAACTGATAAAGGAGTAATGGATTACAATTGCTGGCTGCTGCTGTCTGGATACCAGGCCAGTGCACTTCAGAGATCTTTTTTTAACTCCTCAGATCTCAAATAAAATGAAATAAACACATCCTGTTTTCCCTTAACCAGCATTTCTGATCAGATCTGCACGTGCTAACATTCACTTCCTCGGCCTCTTCCCGCTTCCTGTGCCTAAAAGGGGCACTGGGAGGAGAGGGAATTATCCAAAGAAGCATTACTTTTCTGGTCTAAACCATGCTGGGATGTGGGCACATTTGCAATTAGCTCATTTCAGAATAAACTGCTTAAAAACAGCTTGATCCAGAAACAGGACTTGGTTTAATGTTGATGCATTCAAATCAAATGCTAAAGGAAAAGAGGCGCTGAGTTAACTTAACTGGTTTATTACTACTATTTCTATTACTCTGCCCATTGTTTTAAAACAGTTCAACAGAACTAGCTAGTAAGTAGCTGTCTCTTGCACTTTTATCTAGTGCTGTTAATGCTTCTGTACCTATTTATGGCTAGGTGAATCCAAGCTGTTCCGGCCCAGAAGACCCCGATCCAGCAGTGATGCATTGTCTGCTTCCTTTAACGGGGAACTCCTGGGAAACATGAACCGCTGCAATTCCTATGATAATTTGCCCCATGATGAGAGTGATGGGGATGAGGGACTGATTCATGTTCCTGCCCTCATCTCTCCTCGATCTGCTGAAGATGTTGACCTGAGCCCACCAGAGATTGGAGTAGCCAGCCTGGATTTTGACCCCATGTCTTTTCAGTGTAGCCCACCCCAGGCAGAGTCTGAGTGCCTGGATAGCAGTACTTCCATGCTGGAGTCAGTGGGCATCAGCAAGGACAAGCCAAGCGCAGGGAAGAGGGATTTGGAGTCTGGCAGTCAATCTCAGACCCCTGGCAGTGCCACAAGCTCTGAACCAGTCTCCCCACTCCAAGAGAAGATGAGCCCCTTCTTCACGCTGGACATGAGCCCAACCGAGGAGAAGGCCTGTAAGCCTCTCTCATTCTCTGAGAAAGTTGTCCATGCCTTCTCACCTAAACTGGGGCGAAAGCCACTCAAGTCTCCACCGCTGACTATATCGGAGCCAGTGTCATTTACACTGCCCAACCGGGTGTCAGAAGTGATTGGAGGGGTGCCCCACACAGCAGGGAACACCACTTCTCCAAACTGGAGCAAGGGGATCAGCATCAATGAAGCCACCAACAGGTCTCCAACCCAGATATCCTTGCCACTGAAAGCCTGCGAGATGGGAGCAAATGAAGGATGCCATCCAGAGGTCCGCACCCAAGTGGCTGCCGGTAAACCGGAGTTGCCAGATGAAGGGGCAAAACCAATGCCAGTCAGTCAGAATAAGACTGCACCCTCAGGACACACTCAGCCAGGTACAGTGCACTCTCCTCCTTTCTTTCTTCATGTTCCAGCGGGACTTGCTCTCAGACCTCTTTGCCTGCCTTTTAGGAGAGGGGACCACCTGCCAAATTTTGGCTCTAGGCCCTCTTCAGGGTGGTGCAAATTAGAAAGTTCTTACTAGAAATCTTTCTGGCTTCTCCTGTATCACACAGCTCTTGAATACGACTTAAATATTTTGCAAGGAAATGCCGTAGGCCTAGGCCCAAGATGCCTTTAAACCACAAGCATTTGGGGCAAAAAGTATACGGGTCATGTTCTCTGCAATACCTGCTTCCTAACTGTTGAACTATAAGAGAGTGCTTTAGATGATCTTGTTTTCTTGCAGCATTTCTATGTGCGATAGAAGATTACAGATACAGATACATGTGCATTTGGAGCCATTTTCAAGGGGGCTGGGGGGCTCAGAACTGCTCAGCAGCTGTCAAGTTCTAACAGTTACATGTGGACAAGCTGGGAATATTTAAAATATAGCAAAATAGCTCCAACTTTAATGCTGCTTCATTGAGGGGTTAAAGTTGGAGCAGTTCACTCCCTACTTGTCCATACAGATGTTGGAACACAAGAGCTGGTGCATGCTCCACAATCAGCAGCTCTCCTTTGGAAACTGCTCCAAATGTCCATGTGTCCCTATTCATAGTGTTTTTACTTAACTCATTCACGTGCTACAAAGTGTGGAAAGCATATGTTTTTATAGTGATGGTTAAAGGCTGCTGTCCTTGCTGGGATTCATCTCTCTCTCTCTCTCTCTCTCTCCACCTCTCCCCTGCCCCATTCCTTCCTTGCCCCTCCTCCCTCTCTCTCTCTGAATTTTGTCTCCCATTTCAGGAGCAGTTGCCCTCGACTCCCCTCAGGATCCTGTTCCTGTCAGTTCTGTGTCTCTGATCCCTCCTCCTCCTCCAAAAAATGCAGCGCGTATGCTAGCCCTAGCATTAGCTGAGTCTGCACAGCAGGCTTCTGCTCAATCCCAGAAGAAGCCAGGGGAGGCTCATTCTGACTGTGCAAATTACGGAGAGACTGAAACTGGTACAGCTCTAGAAAAGCTCCACCTCTGTGCTGGTGCTGCCCCCGACAAGCTGCATCTTTACGCTGGTGTGGCTGAGAACAGGCTCCACTTCCAGACTGGTGCATCCGGAGATCGCTTCCAGAACGGGGCACCGGTAGACAAGGATCTCCACAGTAGTGGCACACCTGGGGATCACAACCATTTGCATTTAGGCACATCTGGAAACCAAGACCAGCACTCGCACCTCCATACCAGCATGCCTGGGGATGCACCTAGTGGCAAAGACACAGAGCGGGACCACTCCACCTTCCATACTGTAATGGGGGACAAGGATCACTTCCCCTCCCAGCTCAGGGATCGGGACCAGGTTCACCCCCATTTAGGTATACTACTTGACCAGGAACCATCTGCAACAGATGTGCCTACAGACAAGTCCCATCTACGTACCTGCATACCTATGGACAAAACCCACATCCCGAGCTGCATAGCTGAAGACAGATTTCAGCTTTCTTCTGTAACTGGAGAGAATATCACCATGGCTACAATGACATATGTTACAACTATCCAGACCCCAGCAACCACAGCAGGTCATGGAACAGCTGGTCAACTTGCTGGTGTTGAACCCACCACGCAGGCAGACATCATTGTTACCACGACTCAGCGCACTCTAACAACCAGCCAAGCAGTTTTATCTCAGAGGCCAGGAGACCACCAGCCGGCAATGGGACAAGTTCCAGCAGCAACCACTAAAGGACCAAGTAGTTCCAACCATGTAAGTGGGGGCTCATACACCCAGCACCTAGTATATTTATACATACCATGCACAGATAAAACTATAGCGCCAGAGGGAAAAGCTGAGGGAGGTAGTCTAGACCAGAGAGCAGCAAGGGAAGCGCACACTTTCTGCTCCAAAAGACGGGGAGTGCGGGTGGGTTCCACAAATTACAAGGAACTGCAAGTACGTGAATATATAACACGCAGGCATGTGCACACAGAATTTCCTACTGTGTTCACTTATAACTTTGCAAAAACCTACCATGCTTTTCCTTTGACACGAGCGTGAAAGTTCCCTAGATTAATAGGATGCCACCCCATTGCTCTTAGATCCTAAAATAATGCAGAGTGTTTTTAAGAGACAGATTTGGTTCTTGTAACATGGCGACTGTAGGGGAATGCGCTATTTAACTGTGCTACTGGGAAATTAGAGACAGGTTTGAATTCAGAAACATCTCTTTGGTGTCTTAGAAACAACTGTGGGATGACTGATACTGGGAATGCTAATTTAGAGCTCTCAAAGCTTCCATCAGAAGTGGGCACCTTGCACTTGTAGCGAGCAGTTCCCTAATTCCTGGTGTAGGATTTGGGTTTATATAATATCCTGGTTTCTACCTGCTGCCAACTAAACCACACTGAAAGATTAACTATGTTGACACCCCCCACAGTCTGATTGTATTAGACATTGAGGGATAGTATCAATTCAGAGGAAGTTGTTAGTGTGATGCCATGATGGATTATGCATTCATTAATCCATGCTCAGAGCTGCACAAATGTAAAATCAAAGTGCATTTCTGCTAAAAGTAACTCTACTACTATGTATAAAAAAAAAACCCCACCCATCAAGTGCTCCAGGCTCTGTGGTTTCTAAGCGCCAGCTTATATAAAAGTTGTAATCTACTGACAACTACCATCTCTCCAGTTTGTTGCTTTCTTTCTGTTCTCATGATTGTAACATTTACCAGCCTGTCTGACAGCCCCCCTCTGAGCCTGGGGAAATGATGCAAATTTCAGTTGGTCCCAAAGTTCACTTCAGTCTCTCCAAAAAGGCAGCATTTGTTTCAGTTATCAAGACAGACATAGATTTGCATTAACACACTCTCTTGATTTCAAGACAATGCTGTGCAGTTTATTACGAGACTTGGGCTGTATTGTAGGCAAGGGAGTTTGCACAGAGCCAGGCCTACAGGTGCGGAGTATGTACTGCTGGTGCTTGCTGCTGACATCTGCCTATGATGTTTCCCTACCAGGTACGTGGAGCACTAGCTCCAGAAAAGCCGCCTGAGCCTCGAGTAGCTGAGCCTGCTCCCATTTTCGTCACCGAAAGCAGCTGCACTCCCCGGTGTACCTCGTCCACTCCCGTGTCCTACCAGGGCCACTTAGAAAAGTCCCGGGAGAATACAAGGGCTCCTGCTTTGCACCTTCGGTCTGAATCAGTCCCTGGTCACTCCTCCTATGGCTTCACACCCCCAGTTCCACCCGTGAGAACGCTGGAGAGTAAAATTGCTGCAGCCATGCACTCCAACAGCGCTGATGCTGTCAACAACTCCAACTACCATTCCTTCCTGGTCTCCTCCATGCTGCCTTCCTCCGTGGAGGATGCCTTGCCACCGCCTCCCCCACCCAAGCATGCCTCTCTGCAGTCTTTGTATCTCGCCCATTCCAAGTCAGAGAGTGCCCCCGAGCCCCCCGCCCCCGAGAACTACCTGCACCACAAGCCGGCTTCCATCCACCAGTACAGACCTGAGAGCGTCCCACCACATGTCTCGTACCACAGCAAGTCCGACCAGCACCAAGCCTACGCCTCTAGGTCAGAAACCCCTACATCCATGGGCCCCCGGTATAACACCTATGCCACTCAAGGGAAGAGCACCTCAGCCCTTCACTCCAAGCCTCGGAGCCGGGCTGAATTCGTGTCCTCCATGAGCCCTACCACCATGCGTAGCACCAGCTACACTGAGGAGGCTCCTCCCTACCCCACTATCAGGAGGGTGCAATCACTGCACGTCCCTACCCCGTCTGCCTCCACTGCCACTATCCGCTCCGTGCCCATTTCACGGACAGAGGTGCCACCTGATGACGAGGCAGCGTATTGTCCACGGCCCCTCTATCAGTACAAGCCATACCAGCCCCACTCGGATTATCATGTCACTCAGCTGCAGCCATACTTTGAGAATGGGCGCGTGCATTACAGGTATAGCCCTTATTCAAGCTCTTCTGGCTCCCCCTACTACACTGCAGCAGACGGGAGCTTCTACGACCTGGACCCTTACAGCACCATGCGACTCAGGCAGTTCCACCCCCTTCCTAGCCGAGACTTTGCCTCGTACACCTCCAGGCTTCAGAGCAAGACTCTGTACCGTAATCCCGGCCTGCCTGCCTACCCTCGGGGAGGCCTCATCGGCCACCTGGCAGGGGAAGAGCACAGCTTTATTAGCAGAGATGTGCCCCCTGCCCCAGACATCAAGCACGTGTACATGTCGTGGGACTTGGAGGACATGGAGAAATACCGCATGCAGTCCATTCGCCGCGAGAGCCGCACGCGTCAGAAAGTGAAAGGGCCGGTGATGTCCCAGTATGACAACGTGGGCCCACTGCTGCCAGAGGAACTGGGGGGGCTGGACGTCATCCACCTGCGCAGCAAATCAGATCCTGGGAAAACTGGTCTCCTGACTGTGGCTGAAGGGAAAGAAGGGAGGTACCCAGCCAAGGCAGCCACCCCCGATGGGGAGGAGCGCTACTACGTGCAGCATGTGGAGCCAGAGCCTGACCGAGCTCACTACCATGGGGCCTACGGGAACGGGCAGGTGGAGAAGCCTTCCCTTCCTCAGAAGCAGAGCAGCATTAGGAACAGAAAGTTGCATGAGACGGGCTGCAGCGCCAACGAGCACAGGACGCACCTGCAGCAGGAAGCAAGCCATAGGCAGACCTCAGAATCCAAAAATGGCCCTCCTTATCCGGACTACCGGCCAAAGGGTGGGCAGGAGCCCTGCTCTGAGCCCCTGAGCTACCAGCACTCAGGTGGGAAGTACATCACATCTAGCCAGGAGACCCTGAGGCTGAACCACAAGGAGATGAGGGGTGCAGAGGACAGACCAGATTTGGAAAGGCCTCGAGCCAGGCAGACCGCTCCTGTGGAGAAACACCCCAGAGACTGCTATAAAGAGGAAGAGCACCATGCCCCCCCCGTGGCGCCACCCCCCAAGCCAGAGCGGAGCCACAGCCTCCGAATGCAGCACCCAGAGAGTATAGAGAGGGACCCTGCCCTCCTCTACCCATACCAAACCCTTGGCAAACGCCAAAGCACTATGACAGTGGTGTCCCAGTACGATAACCTGGAGGATTACCATAACATGCCTCAGCACCAAAGAGGGGGCTATGTCGGAGGAGGGGGCTTTGCGCCCCCCAGCTTTCCCCATTCGCACAGTCGGACTTATGCCACAGCCTTGGGCCAGGGGGCCTTCCTCCCCACAGATCTATGTCTGCAGAGGCCCGAGACAGAGGTGCATGCCGAGTGAGCTGGGGGAAGGAGGGATAGAGTCTTAGCAGCCTCTGCTGGACAGTGGACTGTTTTATTTTTTCAGTGACAAAAAAAAAAACCCACAAAAAAACCCAACCCTGCCCCGATGAGCAAAAGCAAACCCTGCCCCCAGCCCACCACTAACTGTTTTTATGTAGTAGAGGTACAGCTTTTTCCATGTAGTTTGAGAGGTTGGCATGATCCTGCAGGCTGTTGGCATGTAAAGAGACAACCCAGTCATGAGGGCAGACCTGAGGCATGGTGGGGAAGGGGCCAAGGGTTTTTCCTCCCCTGGTCTGACGTTACTTGGCTGCCATAGCACTCTCGCTACCCCCGCCATCATTTGGTGCGTGAGGTGCTGGTGTATGCAGCAATTCTGGTCAATCTGGAACAAATGAGGTCATGTTCCCAGCTGCTGGCCTCAGAGGAGTAGTTTGAATGATGCATGCTGGGGCGGCCTCTGTCCTGACCCCTGTCAGGTGAAGCAGCAAATCAGTCATGTGCTAAAAGCTGTGGGGAAAGAGCAGCTTGTTCCCTTGCAGACGATTCCTGATGCTCTAGTGGGCTTAATCCCAGCATTTGGAAGCAAGCAGGAGTCTCTCCGCTGACTTCAGCAAGTGGGATCGGTCCCAGATGAAGGCAAGTGCTATTGTAGGATACGGGGGAGGGCATTTAAAGACTCACTTGACAAGCTGCTTCTGACCACAGAAAGGATTTCTGCAGGAACTCAAGTATCCATGTTAATCTCCCTATTGACAATGGAGACCAGCTTTGGTAGCTGGGGGGGGGCAGGTCTGTGTTTCTAACATTCAAAGGAAAACCCCACCCCCACCGCCACACCCAGCCCTTGAGAACAACACATGCATTTCACGATTCCTCTTTACTGATAGACTAAGGTCCAGACCATTTAATTCCAAGGGGTGGCTGGCCATATAATGCCATCCCTTTACAATGTCACCGTAGGATTATGTCCAGCTTGTAAAGTAGAGCACAGGTTACCAGCTGGGAATGACTATATAAGCACCAAGTTAGCTGCATGACCAGGTATTTGCTCTGGGCCAAATCCCACAGTCCCTAGTTCAGGGAAGACTCCCATTGACTCTGGGATATGGCTTTCCATATCTATAGTACTGCATTACCAAGGGAACCCCTGTGAAGTTGCTGCAAGTACAGAGTAGTTACATGCTATCTGTGCACTGTGAAATAGTATTGCCTCTGTTGTTGCAAGTGTAGTTCACACCAGTATTCAGGCCATCAGTGGGGACTAAAGGGCCAGTACACCTCTATAAAACACTCCAGCAATGTTGCCCTGTGTATTTAAAGAGCTTTCTGTGTTGTAAAAGAAGCAATGTCTGATCTGCAGCCGCTTGAATTCCCAAGACTCAAAAGTCGCTGCAACCCCCCATCTAAGACACATGCATTGTGTTAACCAGGGCTTTCTAGCAGCACCTGAATTGTAGGAGTTTTAACGTGCTATGACAGCGGGGCCTTTCCTTGTTCTGCTTGGTCAAAAATGGCACTGCTTACTTTGGACCTCCAAGGTGTTGTGTCCTTTTTAAGAAAACCCACCCAGAGGTTTTCTTAAAGGTCCCACAGCTGGTGCATAGCTCACACTGGATCTTTAGACAAAAGAGCTCATTGCTATTTTCGGCTTTTAAGTAGTAATAAGAACTTACCACATCTCAGAGGAACACCCCATGGCTAGTAGCTAACCAGTCATTAGCCATTTGCTTCCTTTTAATCTTGTTGCCTTGTTTGGGCCTGTTTCATTAATGGGACCTCGTTAGTCCTATTTTGTTGTGTGATGCATTGTTTTAAAGATTGTTTTTTCATACATAGAGTTGTTCTTAAGTGTTATGGAAATAAATCTGGTGAGGAAACAACAAACACTGTGATCCAGGTTACCATGATCCCATTAACCCTGTGAGTAACTCAAGAAGTGGGATTTGAGGGTGGGCAGTGGGGTGGGGGCTGCTAAAAGGAAAAAGCATGGAAAGGGTCTTTAGATGGAGGCATGTACTATGTTGGTTGTGGACCATCTGGTCTGTGCTACTAGCTAGTAAAGGCTGAACCCTCCTTCCAACTTTTCTGATGGAGTTTGCTTATATCGTACACAGGCTCTGTAGAGGTATACTTATACTTTAAAGATGTCGGTGGATGAGGGCTAACATTACCATTCCCCACAGCTGCCATCTGGCTGCTGCTTTAGGTTCAGCCTCCCTTGTTCTGGAGTTGAGGCAAGAACAAATGCATTTGGTTCAGGCTCTTTGGGATTCAGGTAACGAGGGCTGCAGGTCAAACCTCTCTCTCCATGAAAGCCTTAATTCTCCCTCCTAACCTCTTGGTATTAGCCTTATATGACCAGGACTGTCCCCTGGTGAGAGAGCCCCACTGAGCTCCCTCTAGTTCTGTAAATGCCTCTCAATTTGCCTGCAGTCATCACGTGACTTGAAGCCAGTCTTCTCCCGTAGTGTATAAAGCTCCAGACCATTTCCCTGACTTATGAACAACAGCAACAAGAGACAGGGCCAGGGATTTTGAGCCTGCTTAGCAGTTCACAGCACTAACCTCTGCACTTGAGAGAGGCCCAACATGTGCCTGGTGCTGATCACTCTCTACCACCATTGACTTCAGTGGATATCAAGGGCCCCTAGCACTTTGCAGGCCTCAGGCCATACAATGTGCAGCTGCCCTACTGGCTAGGATACACTTCACTCATAAAGTGTTGCTCACAGAAATGGAGACAAGCCCTGTGGAGACCAGAAAGCGCTCTGTCCTGGTCCAGAGATCTTAGTTATTTAGCTGCTTCCATTTCTTCTTCCCAGCCATAACAGCATGTGAGCAGAGGGCTGCCTGTGTTCAGCATTGGGTGAAGACCCCTGAAGCAATAGGCTCAGGAAGCCTGGACCAAGCCCCCTTCCTTGAAAGGATGACCAGCTGCTCAAGCCATTCTTAAACCCTGCACCCCAGCCCCACAAGAAAGCCATATAGTGAACTATGCAGTTCTGCTCTGGACCTGTGGTTAGTGTTGGATCTTGATGCCCCTTAGGAAATGGGTCCCCTTCCCCGTTGATTAAAGATCAAGGTACTTGGTGTCTGCCCTGCTATACCTGGAAAAATTCCCAGTATTCAGGGAAATACTGGGAATTTCCTGTGCAGGCAGCTGAAGCGGGGAAATAGTTTAGCTGGCTACCGCTCATCCCTGTTGTTTTCTAAAAGGTCCCATCTAGCCCTGGGCTAGGCAGGAACTGGGTATGGCATATGGTAGGGAACACAGGAGAAAACTCTGCTTTCTGTCAGCAAATGGGACTTGGAGGGAGACCTCTGCTAGGGAAGAACAGTGAGGAAGACAGTGCATCAACAAGCACCAATCTGCTCAGCTGTAGGAGCCCTATTGTCTGACCACATCTCCAGCAAGGGGACACGAGCAGCTCCAGGACTGACATAAAACGTCTCCAATACATGGGTTATTTACTGCCTGCATTTTAGTTCCCACTTGCTGCATTTTTCAGCTGAAATTCTCTCTACCTCACATAAGAGGTAGGGCCCAATTCTGGGTTTGTACCCCCAACTTTGGAGCAGCATTTGGCCCAGAAAGCAATCTTGCCCCATGGGGATAGGTGTCAAGATGGGCCCTGTAGAGTCTCTTTTAGTTTCAACTTTCATTTTTTTTAAGGAAAAAAAAAAAAGTCTGATCAGGTTAAAATGTATATGCATATATGACAGGAAAATACTTTGTGCCTATGTCTTTGCAGAGGTAATGGGTTTACGCTTATCAGTTGGGAGGAGGCCAGTGAGGATTGCACAGCCGTAGCTAATTGCTACACAAAACCAAAACCAACTTGAAAATGTATTGTTCCCCTTCACCTACGGAAAGGAGAGCCCCTTGTGAGTTCCCTGCCATCCGTCCCATCAGTCTCTTGACAAAGCACTGACTGAAGCAGCGTGTTACGTGTCAGAGGATGCAAAATTGTGGTTTTAACTTTTCTTGTTTAAACGCACAGACACGCACACAAACACACAAAAAAGTGATTTTTTTCCAGACCCTTGTGCTACAGAAGTCTGACGCGAAAGGCATGGCATAGTTTAAACATATGTGCCCAGTAACCCCATTGTGCGTGAGAAATCTTGCATTGTACAGTTTTAGTGCAAAACAAAAGGACAAGAAAGGGTTGTCTTGCAGTTCACTTCCCTGCTATAGAAAACTTGATTTTTCTTGCCTGGAGCCGCATGAGCGAAGCACCCAGAAAGCCTTGGGTTACCTTCAGAGTTCCCTTCACTTTAATTTATATAGTGTCTTATTTTTGTGTTCATTTTTTTTTGTGTGTGTGAATTGGTGTAAAATGTATATGCCGACAAGCTCATGTATTTTTATGTAAATATTTTTGTGGTTTCCCACCAACCTTCCCTGTAAATACTTAGATTCTCATTTTCTTCCCACCGTGTACGATGCGGATGTGGTTTTGTTTCTGTTTTTTATTTGTACTGTAATGCAATGATCCAGACTGAGGTGTCTTGTGGTATTAAACAAAAAGCAACAGTCCCGCTGAGCTCACACTCAGATGTACAACTCAACCGCATTAATCAAGCCAGGGTAAAACCTACTCCTTTGCGTTCACGTTTGTTTGTGCCTCTGCCTTGTTAATTAACAATAACCTAGAAGAAGGACACAGGACATGGAAACGCTAGCTTAGGAGCCACGCAGTCTTGGGGGCCAGATACCTCAGACGATGAGAGGGGTGAAGACTGTGCGTGTGCCAAGGCTCCTGTGAACCACTGGCCTTTGGCCCATCCCAGTGCTTATCTGTTCAGCTACGCCTGTGGCATAACTGTTCTGAAAAGAAAACAAAAATAAATCATCCTTGGCTTTCCTAGTCTCCCTTTCTTCTCACCTAGGATTGCTGCACTAGGAAAAGGCCAGGCAACAGATCTGACTCCTAAGGGTTGAACTGAAGTCGCTGATTAAAGCAGGTTGGGGAAGAAGAGGGTGCCCGACCAAGCTTTTTGTTCCAGTGTTGTACAGCACCGAGCACAGTGGAGTCTTGGTCAAAGACGAGCTCCCAGGCCCTACCACTGCTGGTGTATTAAATAGTGCATCAGCCCTTTGGTGTTCAGTCATCTTTGCCAATAACATGATAAAGTAATTATTTCACTGCTTTCACGGTCTTCTCAGCAAGTGCACACACTGCTGTCTGTCCCATCCCTCCCCCCTGAAGCATGCTTTTCCTTAGTGTGCAAAACCCCTGCTGGTGCACTGACACAATCAGCAGCTCACAGATTGCATCTAGAAAAGTAGTAGTATGGTGCGAGTCCAGCATAACCCCAGGAATCAGAAAAGCAGGGCTGGAAGGGACCCGAGGAGGTGATCTGGTCCAACCCTCTAATCAAGGCAGGATCATCCCTACCCAAGCCATCCCATCCAAGTCCTTGTCTAGCCCATTCCTAAAGCTACACAACTCTGTTGTACAACTACAAGGCGTATTGTCTCAAGCCCAACCTACCACAGGTAAAGCAAGAAGACGATGACTCCATACATGAATTTGGTGGTCGTTACCATCTGTCCTTGCAAGAATCAGTCAGAGCAGAGTTCCAGCCTGGCTTCTAAGCAGCTTTGCAAATGCATCGGGGATAATTGTTAGCCCAGGCACCAAATCTGCTCACCATTGCAGGCAGCACAATTGCCAGATCACCCTATAGGAGTGCACCACTTGAATTTGATGGCTTCTAAAAGGTTAATAGGATGAGGCAAAGAATCACCACAGGTCATCCCTCCCTTCCCCTGCTTATTGAAGTGCTGTACAGGGCCAAAGCCCTATGTCTGGGGCAGGGCCTTGTTGTGCTTGGTGTTCAGACAGACACAGAAGGCTATTTGAAAACCCAGAAACTTAGAATCAGATTTGGAAGGGACCGCAGGAGGTCATTTAGTCCAACCCCCTGCTCAAAGCAGGACCAGCCCCAACTAGAGATCTTAAAAACCTCCAACGATGGAGATTGCACTACCTCTCTATGTAACCTGTTCCAGTGCTTTACTATGCTCCTAGTGAGAGAGTTCTTCCTAATATCTAACCTAAACTTCCCTTGCTGCAACTTGACCAGCCCTGGCCAGTTCTTGGACAGCACTAGCCCTGTTTAGTGGAAGCTGTACAGTGACACTATCACTATCTAACCTAAACCTCCCTTGCTGCAACTTGAGCCCATTGCTCCTTCTCCTGTCATCTGCCACCACTGAAAACAGCCCAGCTCCATCCTCTTTGGATCCCCCTTCAGGGAGTTGAAAGATGCTATCAAATCCCCTCTCGCTCTTCTCTGGACAAAATAAGCCCAGTTTCCTCAGTCTCTCCTCACAAGCCATGTGTCCCAGCCTGCGAACCAGTTTTATTGCCCTCTTCTGGACTCTCTCCAACTTGTCCGCATCCTTTCTGTAGTGGGAGACCCAAACCTGGGCACTACTCCGGGGGGGGAGGGTGTCTTACCGGTGCTGTGTCGAGGAGAAGAATAATTTCCCTTGACCTGCTGGCAACACACCTACCAATGCAGCCCAGGATGCCATTCACCTTTTTAGCAACAAAGGCCGACTGCTGGCTCATATTCAGCTTATTGTCCACTGTATCCCCAAGGTCCTTTTCTGCAGAGCTGCTGCCCAGCCATTCAGCCCCCAGCCTGTCTCGGTGCATGGGATTGTTCTGTCCTAAGTGGGAGACTGCCCTTGTCCTTGTTGAACCTCATGAGATTTCTTTTGGCCCAATCCTTCAATTTGTCAAGGTCACTCTGAATCCTAGCCCTACCCTCCAGCACATCTACTACTCCAGCTTGGTGTCATCTGCAAAATTGCTGAAGGTGCACTCCATCCCCTCTTCCAGGTCTTTGATGAATAAAACCTAAATTGTTTTTAAAAAATTCTTTGAAACAAGTTAAAATGCTTTAACTTCTTTTCAAGAATTTGAAGTCCAAGGCTAATTGGCAGGTCACTGATCTATGATTGCTGTTTCCCCTCACCTCACTGGAGTCACCTGCAGAAAGGGAATTCTGCAAGATGCTGGCAGCTTAAGGCTGGTAAGAAGAGGTGCTCAGCAACCTGACCTCCCGTTGGGGGACATGGAATAGATCAGCTCTAACGACCCGTCAAAAATGCTCCATGTGGCACCTCAGAGCCCTGCTGTGAAGTGCACACACAATCCCAGAAAAGAAGCAATGTAGCTTTCTTAAAGGGGGTCCAGGTGAGTGGCCAGCGCTATTCTAAGACATCTCCAGGAGATGGGATATGATTCCCAGCCTAGCTCCTGGGCACAGCGTAAGCAGGGTGTCGACATGCCCTATGATCACCTGTAATGCTGCCATATGGCAAAAGGGACAGCAGGATCAGTGAGCAGGTTGCCACATGGACCATAAAACCATTTCAGCACCATCTCTTATTAATACAGCCACTTCCCCGCTTGCCTGCAAGGGCGCACACACTGCTCATTGCCTGACACATAGCACTCCTCCAGCTGGAGTCCCTTGACAGGATGCACTTGTTCATCCAGTGATTTTTATTTGCCCCCATGGGACCCAAGCAAACATCTGCTCCCATAGCTCTGCCTCTCATGGAGATGGGCTTTATGGCCTGGAGTCAGACTAGCTGTAATGGTTCCTGCTCACCTTAATATCTGTGGAGTGCTGACCTTAATATCTGTGGAGTTAAGAATGAGTGCATAATCCACTTTCAGCACCCAGATGCTCACAAGCAAGGCATTGACTAGAGGAGTTGTCAATGGGCATATTGAAGGGGATGAACAAAATCAACACATCGGCAGAGGCAATTCAGTGCCAAATTGTACCACACATTCTCACCTTCCTCAGATCACTGCCTGCTACCTCCGTGTTTCCAGGGCTCTATTCATTGAACCCTTTCTTCATCCTGAACACAGCAGAGGAGTCAAAAACAAACTAGTCAAGGTAATGTTTGAGAACATCCTACACTACACTTCCCTCAAACTGCTGCCAACTCCTGTGCTTTACCGTGCTGTGCAAAGGGGTAAAAAGAAACCCTGGGAAAGGTAAAGTAGAAGACTGGGAAAGACGTATATAGGTATAGCTGGTCCCAGTGAACAATCCTGCTTTTCTGAGGCACATATGATACATCTCCAGCACTGTCAGTCTTTGTACTGACAAACAACTGCACCCAGCAAAGGTGAAAAATAAATTGTGAGCACACACTTGTAACACAAGGAGCCATGACTGAACCCAAACAGAGCAGCTCTAAAAGCCTCTTCTGGTTTTTCACCATCCTGTACAAGACAAATCAAGCCTCAGCAGTTCAACAACTTGCACTGAGTTTAGCTATCCAAGTCCTCCGACAAGGACAGAGAACCAATACCTCGGATTTGTGGAGCTGCGCATTGCTCACTTCGCCTTTTGGCGTGCGCCATTTGAAGAATATTACAGACAGGTTTGGTCTCCTGCCACAGGGGAGTTTGTGCTGGAAAAGCCGTATGCTCAAAGGGGTTCAACAAAATGAACAGTAACGAGACGTTACCCCTGCTGGAACCAGTAAGTCTGAAAAAACCCCAACAGATTGGAAGCCAGATGCCTAGGTCAGTGGCATGAGTCAGCAGCGATTGCCGGGTTGTTAATTCAGCTGTACAGGTGCCCCTTGAAGGTGACTGACATTTTATATAGCAAGAAGAAAGCTCCAAAAATATACAGTTATTTTACACCCCTAACTTCCAAGATAAACATGCTATTTTTCTCCCTTCCACCTCTTGGGGTCAAACTCACTTCACCCACATTAGCCAAGCACTCCAGTTGTATGCTGCTGGCATGGAAAGGAGTTCACAAACTGAACACTGTTTTTTAGGCTGCCCAGCTGAAGCCAGGTTTCTAGGAAGGGCTTGAAGATGGCAAGACCTGACAGGCAGAGCAGAGCTAGGACACCACAGAGGTTGGCTTGGGCAGAACAGGGAAGAGACAAAAGACTTGGAGAAATGGAGGCAAGCAAGCAAGAAAGGGCATCTAGTGCCCAAGTAGTTTTAGGCAAATATTTCCTTGGTAACTCCTGAAAAGCCGCTTTGTGGCCTGCTGCGGCAGCCCC